ACCTTCGCAAGCTTCGTCGACTACGATTTTGCATGTCGCCTTAGTCGACCAATCATAATATGACTTATGCAATTGCTATTTTTCTGATTTTATTTTATTTACTTATCTTTAGATTAGTTTTAGGATAATATAAATACTCCAAGGGATTTTATTTTTCCCTCATGCCGTTTTTTACCTTTTATTATTTTATGTTCGTTGGTTTTCTCTTGAACCCTAGTTTCTCATGGCATCTCCATGGATTCTTCCATGGATAATTCTTGGGTTTATTATTTCAATTCATTGAGGTATTTTATTTCTAGTTCTTGCTTTTAATTATGTTTTATTCCTTAAAACTAGTTTTTATTATTTATTTCATGTTTGAGTAGTTTAATTTCTAGGGTTTGGGAATCCATGTTTATATAATGAATCTTAATTGATGTTATTAATATTTTGATTATTGATTTATCTAATTGATAGTGTTTTATTGTTAATCTTGCAACCTGATCAATTTTTTGATTAATTATTGTTAATAAGAGTTTGAATCGAAAGATCTTACTTTTAGAGGCTTACCTACAATTAGCAATTCTGAGTATGTTAGCGACCGAACTACATGTGTTGAATTGATCAGAGAGCGTTAAGACCGACCTTAGGCTTAGCAATTGCTCTAGATAATTGATTGATTGAATTATTATTGATATTTGATAGATTTAGAACTATAAACATGGTGAACCATAACCCTAGGTCTTTTTATTAATTGTTTTATTCTTATTTTAATTTAGACTTTATTTTTATCCAAATTTCGTGACATAATTTAGTTTCTCCGTACCTTGAAAGCTAGATTGAATACCATCTCCCTGTGGATTCGACCCTACTTACCCTACTACATTGTTAGTTGGTTTTGTTAGGAATTTATTTTTGACAGGCAACCTATCACCTGACCTATTGCAAATAGGCACAATCGCAAAAAATATCAGGAAACTTGTCAAGTAATAAAAAGAAAAGTTTTACTTGTGTCAAGTAAAAAAGAATGGAAGCCATTGGAGTCTTTGTGTTACTCCATATTTTTTTGAATATGTCTTGTGTACAACGGGTATACATTAATTTTATTGTAAAACAGTTAGTTTGAGCGTAACTTAACTATTTTTATGGTAACTTTAACTATTTAAAGGGTAACTTTTAATTTGTCGCTGGTTTGAATTTTTATTTTAATGTGTAATTTCTTATAGATACGTGATTACATACTATAAAGACTAGTATGATTAATCTAATACATTATAAGTTTTTTGTAAGATAAAATTTATTAATAAAAAAATATAATTTTGCAATATAAAAAGTAACTTTAAGTATTTTTAACATAACTTTAACTCGTTTTACAATAAATTAACGTACACCCGCCTTTTTGGAGAATTTATGTATTTTTTTTATTCGTATAGTATTTTTTATTTTTATACCCCTGAGTAATTCGCTTATTCACAATATACCCATGAAACTTTCCAAATACACCATATACCCCCGAGTTTAACAAAAATGCCCCAAATACCCAAATGACTAACAGACGTCAACTCTGTTAGTCATAAGGGCTAATTGTGCCACGTGGCATCTACTGATTGGTTGTTTTTAAATCTATTTATTTAATAATTTAAAAAATTAAAAAAAAATCAAAAATTAAAAAAAAAATTAAAAAAAAAATCAACCTAAACCCCAGCCACCTGCTCACCTTCCCCGCCCCACCACCACCAGCCCCGACCAACCTATTTCCCTACTCCAGTGCCGACCACACTCCCTCCCATCGGTGCCAGCCCTCCCCCACACCGGCGATCGCCCCACGACCTTACTAACCCGAAAAATCGAAACCCTAAATTTTGATTTTGGGGTTTTATGATTTCGAGGTGGTGGTTTGTGTAACACCCCCAAATCTCCCTCTACAAATACTAGTATAATACGTATAATTATACCGTAGAGATAGACTTAGGCGTATTACCGCTGCGTGATTACACAAGGCTACTCAAACTTACTAATCAAAACCAATACTTTGCAGCGGAAACTTAAACTCTTTCTTTATTAATAATAATATAAATAGTAACCATTGTCATGAGTACTCATAATTAAACCAAGACTAACAATCCTAATCTAAGTGAAGAACATTCTCGGGACTCCCATATGCATAATTCTTGACTCCACCTGAAAATTAGTCAACACCGCTTACCATTACGGTAAACAGGGAGAACCAAAACAAATAAGAAATATGGGTTAGCAAAAAAATGCTAAGTACATAAGTGCAAGAAAAGTAAATTCAATTTATTCGCAAACATGTTTTTAAAACCAATTCCAATAATCAATCTAGTGAATTCCAAAACTCATGATTAAACCAATTCTCAATAATTCAATAATTTGATGAAACGATTAATAAAACCAATTTATCTTTTGAAAACCAATTCCTCTTTTTTAAAACCAAATTCTCAATATTCTCAAAATAATTCCAATAACTCAATAATAATGATTAGTCAAATCAATTATTTTCGAAAAATCAATCTCCTCTCTAAGTGTGCACACACCCCAATCTAGTCCCCTACTATTTCAAGTCTATTCTTGGAGAAAGACTAGGTCATATGAAGTCCATAACCTTCAATGAATCCGCATAGTGGGATTAATATAATAATTATGCTTTTGAGAAAACTTTTGAAATAATTCAATAAACCTCTTTAACTCAATAATTCCGATAAATACCTCAAACTCCTTTATAATTAAATTCAACATGATTTTAAAATCAACCTTTTAATAAATACTTGAGAATTAGATCTCATATTAATAACTTTTCAAAATCAATAATTCTTCCTTTGAAAAATCCTTTTATTTAATTCCTCAAACTTTTCAAATCAATTTCTTTATTCAAACATGATAGTAATTCAAACAACTCAAAACATAATATAAAATCAATCCTCCAATTTATTTATCAAATAAACCAATTATTTAAACATGCTTTTATTTCATAAATCATAATTTAATTCAATCATCATAAAAATCATGCAAAACATGCTTATTCAACCCAATCAATTTCAAAAGTATCTAGCCACCTAACGTACCTTTGGTCCTTGCTTAGCAAACACAAAAAAACTTCAAGCACTTGGATCAAACACACCCTACAAATAAATATAACCTTAATTAATATAAGGTTAAAAAATAATCACAACAATTAAATTAAAAACCCCCAACTCTATATGTACATGAACCTTTTAAATTATTTTTCATAAACATGAATAAAAATTTGATTTTATTTTATTAAAACTACTCATAATAATTTTTATAAATCCCCCATAACAATAATAATTAATTAAGAGAAGAGAAGAAGAAAAGGTAGAAAACCAAGGAAAAGAGAGAGAAAAAGGTGGCGGCAAGGTGGGGCAGCCTTCCGGCAGGTGGCTGGAGGTGGCGACTGGCATCGAGGAGGGTAGCAGCCGACGTGGAGGTGGTGGTCGTGGTGATTGGTGGTGGTGGCGCAAAAAAGAAAAAGAAAAGAGAAAATTAAAGAGAGAGATTAAGAGAGAATTAGAGAATTTGGTGTGAGTGTTTAGCCATGAATCAATGGGTATTTATAGGCTAGCCCATGCATGAAATACGGTAAGAGAATGTAGGAAGAATTATGGTAAAAAGAATTAAGGAAATTACTAGGAGAAGAGTGTTATTAAGGAAATATGGAAAGTTTGAGATTAAAGTGATTAAGAATAATAAAATTAAGGAAAGTATGTTGTCATGAAAAATAATATGGCAAAGGAGGTTTACTCGGGGAATAATCAAGGATGGAATAAGGTAGGGAAATAAGATGATCAAATATTTAGGAGGTGAGAAATAAAAATTAAGGAAAATGATAGATTCTGAGGAAGATAATTAAAAATACAAATTACCAAAATAATTCCCCCATAAATCAACCAAGAGGGCCGAAAATATGGAGCTTCCATAGCTCAAATTTTCGGACCTCCTTAGTGTATTTTAGGAAATTAATTGCTAGATTTAAGGATTAAAAATAATTGTGTAAATAATATATATTGTATAAAATAATTAATTAAGAGAATACCATTTATTCACTAAATAAATTAACTAAGAAAATCAGATTTTACACACTAGGAAAATCCGAAATTAATAGCCACTTAATAGGAATTTTCGGACCTCCTAATTTAAATAATAAAATATAATTTTTGCTTAATTAAACTATCCGAAATATGTATAAATAATCAGGTTTTTAAAATAAAATAAATGGATAATAAATCTTATTCAAAATCCAAAAATAATAATTAAGTTTTAAAAGACTTTTGGCGCCAAAATTCAAATATCATTTTGGCTCCAAAATTCAATAGTAGAATAAATTACTAAAATACCCTTTTTAGAAAATAATAATTAATTAATTAATTAGAAAATACGTTTCAAAAATATGGGGTATTACAGTTTGGGGGGGGGGGGGGGAAAGGGGCGGAGATGGTACGGGGAGGGGCGAATTGGGTTTGTCGGTTCGAGGGGGTTTGGGCCGTCGGCAAGTAGGGAGGGAGGTTTTTTTGTGGGAGAGAGAAGGGTTTTAGGTAGCGGGGATGGTGATTTGGGGGAAGGGGAAAGGCGATTTCAGGGGTTAGGGTCCGGCCGACGCCAGCGTAGGGGTTCGGGGGGATTTGCGCCTGCGATAGCGTAGGGCTTAGGGGAGGCAACGGTGGAGGCGGCGGTAGCGGTGGCTGCGGTTTTGGGGTTGGGTTTTTTTTTTACAAAAAAAAAAGTTAATTTTTGATTTTTAATTATTTTTAATAGTTAATTAAATAAAAAAACAACCAATCAGGATATGCCACGTGACACAATTAACCCCTAATGACTAACGGAGTTAACATTCGTTAGTCATTTGGGTATTTGGGGCATTTTTGTTAAAATCAGGGGTATGTGGTGTGTTTAGAAAGTTTCATGTTTGGTGAAATAAGTCAATAACCGTTTTTATTATTATACTTTATAATTTTATTTACTCACATTCACCGACATACGAATAAAAAAAAAAAAATCAATTTATCCATACTTCACCTCTTCGTCAAATAAACCACCAATTACAATTTACAATCGTCGGAAAACCTCAAACCCCTAACCCTAGAAAAATCCCCAATTTCTCTCCTGCAATTCCCAATTCTTCACAACCCTAACCCTAAAAAATGTCGATCAGCTTGAGGAAAGCCAACACTCGTCTTCCTCCTGAGGTGAACAGGGTTCTCTACGTTCGTAATCTTCCCTTCAACATAACCAGCGAAGAGATGTACGACATTTTCGGAAAGTACGGAGCAATTCGTCAAATTCGTGTCGGAACTAATAAGGATACTCGAGGAACAGCGTTCGTAGTTTACGAGGATATTTATGATGCTAAAACTGCTGTTGATCATCTTTCTGGGTTTAATGTCGCGAATCGTTATCTTATTGTGTTGTATTATCAGCCTGCTAAGATGAACAAGAAGATTGATTTCAAGAAGAAGGAGGAAGATCTTGTCAAACTGCAGGAGAAATATGGTGTTTCTACTAAAGATAAGTGATATATTTTTTTTTTCTGGGTTTAGGTTTTTCTTTTACGAATTGTATGTAAAATGTGGTTGAATTAATGGTATTGTATTTTCTGAGGATTGATACTGGTAATACTTACAATCTTAGTGCTATATTTTCCGAGGATTATTAAATTCTGCGTTATTGTTTGATAATTCTTGTTTTGATTAAACCAGTAACTTCCGACATTATAATTTGAAGAATTGCAAACTAAAATAAGGAAAAGTAATGATGAATTTTAGGAAGAAAGATGGAGCAGAGACGGTACGATGAGAAAGGGAGAATTGTTACTCTCTAGTGAAATCACCCCTGTAGTTTGCATTAAGCTACTACGGAGTATATGTTTGTTATTGTACATGATGTCTTTTAGGAGCGTTTATCGCGCTATCTCTGTTTTGGGATCATCTGTTTTATTTTTGTTCTTAGTTAGTTTTTGTGGATTTTGATGGGGTTTTTAACCTATAAATTTTGTTTGGTTTTGATTGCTTATGGTTGTGCAAGATGGTCTAGCACGTCTTGTGTTATTTTTTGGGTTATAATTTATGAAGTGATCAATAGGTGATGGAGGATGAGGTTAGGATTGAATGGATTCATTGTGGTACGCCATATGTTTGGGGGACATTTTACATTGATACCTTATGGCTTGTGCTAATGATGAACTACATCATTTGTTTTGTTGCTTTTGTCTAGATTGTTTCATGTTTTATACTCGAGGCATTTTGAAGTGATATTATTGTGAGGACTTATTTCATTTTTTTTGGTATCATTACTCTTTTGGAAGTAAATTTGTATGGATTTTCGGATATTTAGCTTGATATAATTTGTGGGTCTTTTAGATATAGGCTATGTACTTTACTTAGGAGTAATGCATGTACGGACCTCCCTAGATCTTGTCTTAGTGAGACCTGATAGTCATGCTGTGATTTTGTTGCAGTAGTTAGCTCAACATTAGTTATAGAATTCCTAGTGCTTTTGAGAACAGAGAACTGAGAGACTAAATGTCTTTTGTTATGTTCAAGTTGGAAATTTCAATGTTTTTGGAACCAAAAACAAGCTTTTTTGTAACTAGGAAAGATACCTTTTTCCCCCTCTGCTTTAGGGTCATGTCTAGTATAAGAGCTCACTATGCAACATATCTAGTTCAACCTTTGAAATCTCCAAACTGTGTCACTGTGTGTGTTGGAGTTCAATGATGATGATGGTGGTTATTCACTCTTTGGGATATTATTGCTGAGAAGTACGAGAATGGAGGGAATAGGGTTTAGAATTGAAGTAACTAAGCATCATTTATATAGTGAGGCTCGACCCCAGATTGCCAAGTTGGTGATTATTGGAACCATCTCTTGTAGCTCTTCACTACTAATACAACAAAATTCCAAAATAGCAACATAACTTAACTTTATACACCTATTTGTAGACTTGTAATGATTCCAAATCAACCTATATGACACCGGGGGACACCCTAAACATTCATGTCAATTTTGGAAAAATTTCCTACCATTGCCAAGTAAGCGTGGATTTAGCCTTCAATTTTGGACTTTTTGGACTCAGAAAAGAAATTTGTCGGGGTGCTTCCTATGTACCCTACGACACCCTAGGACTCCATTTGCTTCCACTTTGCCTTCAAATTGTCAATTTAGCCATTTGCAATTTACGTCTCCCTTCATAACTTAAGGCCACCCCAAGACTTTATATAGACTTGATGTTGAATTACTTTGAATAGTCAATATTTTTTTTACTGTTTAAAATGATATTAATATTGACTTTACCCTCATCAAGAATTCTCATGATTCTCAAATGAAAGGAAATATGTTGTGTGAGGAAAGTGGTACTTCAGATTCAATGGATTTTTTATTTTTTTTTTAATTGTTTAATGCATCTAGTATGCACTTATGTTCTAAGTGTAATAACTATACATATGTTCTGTAAATCCTAATAGCTTCTTTTTGATGGATTTTTTGATTTTGTCAAAATAATTGTTGATTTGAGTTTATGAAAAGCACATATGTGTTTGTAGGTTTTTGACTGAGTTGTGAAAACTTTTTGCTGTTTCATTTGTAGGGTTTTTTATTTGATAGGGCTTTTTCCTTTCTTTTATTAAGCAAGGAATTATGAACTTAGTGCCGTGCATATGAATGGATTGGTGTGTGAAGGGTTGTTGTCCAATTCCCACTACCTATAATTTGAGTGGAGGGATCTTCCTTTTGGTGTTTCAAGGTAGCTCTTCAGTTTCTGTGAGATCGTGTTATTGTAAGTTATCCCCCATAACTGTAGTATTGCTGAATCAACTACTTAGCTCACCACTGCCCAATTCCTTCCACACCTCCATGGCTCCATCTTTATTTACCCCTTTTTTGTTTTAGACCATATTGCCCCTTGAATTATTCCTCATTTCTCACCGTTCCAGGCTGGTCTTTTCTGTTATTAATCGTCTTCTTATCAAGTTCCATACTAGTAATAGCAGTAGGATCTTCTGAATTTCTCATGCAATAATTTTTTTTTTTTTTTTTCCGCATTAGTAATCTCCGCTAATTTGCAGATAAGTTCACATACCTTGAATGTTAGGTCACTCTGTTACTGAAGGTTGTCATCATGGAATTCTATGCTGTTAAGCATCAATATGAAGGGTAGCTCTTCAGTGTAATTAAGTAATTAGTAAGGTAGTTAGTAGCTTTAAGGAAAAGATAGGTTTATGTAGGATGTAGTGTTAGTCAGCTTCTAGAGAGTTATTTGTGAAATAATCAAGCCCTCTTGAATGCCTGAAAATATCCTTGAATGCCTGAAATTATCCTTTATTTTCTGTTAAGTTCGGCTCATCAATTAAAAGCACCTTGTTAATTCTCCCATTCATGGTATCCAAGTTAAGTCGGTTCTTAGCATCTGTTCAATTTGGTATAAACTTTTTATATACAAAAGCTAGGTAGGTGTTTTGAAGAAATAGGGTTTAAAGACTTTAAACTTTAAAGTTATGCAGCTTGGTGTTAATGCTAGTATGCTAATACCTGTATTGAGAGTGATAAGAGTACAAATATTGAGAACATGGTAATGTTACTGAGTATCTATTTGTTGGTGTGTTCTCAGAGTCTTATAGGTTGTTGGTCATGAGGTCAAAAACGATCTTGTAAATATGCGAGCAAGAATGGTGCTTGGTGGTCTAAGTTGTATACTTGTATGTTATCTTTTTAATTTACATCTAAATGATTCTGCAGCAAAAGTTGATTTGTGTGGAAGTTTTGGTTTATTATTTTGTAATTTGTATAATGTTATTATTACCTTCACAGTGGCTTGATTGGAATGCTATATAACAGTTGTGATTCATTTGTTCCTGGTCCAAAGTATTATAGTCCTGTTTGGTTTAGGCCACTCTTTGGTGGTCTATGACTATGTAAGTTCTTAGACTGTCAAAGATTTTGGGGCCAATGCTATAAAGCATACTAATTATATATGGGTGTAAATGAGCCTACCGGATTCGTTAACTATTTGAGCTTAACTACGATATTTTAGGAGTTCGACTCGAGAAACTCGTGAATGAATTTATTTTTTTTGTTTGTCATCAATCAATCAAAGCCTTAATCCCATAAGTGGGGTCGGCAAATGAACCAAAAGTAATCATTTCGTATAGTCATCGACAAAAATCTTCCTCCTTCATCCCTTACGATCTAATGCCTCATCCTCATACTAATCCATATCCTTCATATCCTTCCTATTTTCCTAACTCCTTTTCGGTCTCCCTCTCCCTCGTTTAACCTCTCCATGGTCCTACTCTTCCACTCTTCGTAGCAGTGCACCCTCGGGTCTTCGTTTTACATGTCCAAATCAAAGCAGTCGATTTTTTCTTAGTTTGTCTGTAATGCTTGTCATCCCTACTTTCTTGTGAATAACCTCATTTCTAATTATATCTCTTAGAGTTTTCCTGCACATCCACCTTAACATATGCATTTTCGTGACCTCCATCTTAATGTGCTCCTTCTTAGAAGCCCATCCTTTTGTTTGTAATATATAACTTAATTTATTAATTAAAATTAAACAATATTGGTGAGAGATTTGTATAAATTAGAACAATTACAACATTTAAGAGGAATGAAATTTCCAAACTCAAGCTGAGGTTTATATTATGGCGTTGAATTGTATAATTGAAGCTTGAAATGCTCGGGATTCGGCTCAAGTTCAAATGCAAGTGTAACCAGTTGAGCCAAATTTGGTCTCTCTTGATAAGCCCCCTTAAAAGTCCACGGTTGGTGTATGCCCTATATGGTGCAAATTTTGGAAACTACTGTAATACATATGGAGGTAAACCACACCAGCTGCTGTAGTCTGTTGCTTTGCTGAAATCTGGTCTGCTCTGTCGGAAGCTTAAAAGAACAGGGCCTAATACATATTGATACCCACTTGATTTATCCTTAGTTCCTTACCTGTTAATTTGACCTTAATATAACAATCACGGATTGAGAATCTTTTTAGAGAAGCAAAGCAACAAGGTTTAGGCTGGTAGAGAGTAGGTATCAAGCCCTGTAACTTGATTTTTTATTGCTAATTAATTACAATTGTCTTGTGTTTAACTGCATAATAATTAATAACCCAAGTGGCTACGGCTATGATGTAATCATATATTTTCTCCATAATACTTTTGATTATACCTGTATATATAACTCAACGTAATGTAGATGTTGTAAATTTATTTTGTAGTCTAAACTAATACGAGTACGAGACATATAATAATGATTTGATTTTACTACACTGATTATGTAATGTAAGCTATGTTTGTACGATTTTGGTTTAACTTTGTTGTCGAATTACGGTGAGAATCGTCTCGCAACTTTTAGTTTTGAATTTTACTTTTATACCTTCTAACTTTATTTCCTACCTCACATAGTCACATGATAAACAACAAATCTAGCTACTCGGGTCAATCTCACTTGTATCGCGTATGTAATTAACAGCGTATGTAATTCCCCCTCCTTTCTTCCATTACAACAACCATGCAAAGATAGCAAGAAACATTGCTACTCTTCCCTACTAACATGTACAACAATTATATCATGCAAAGAAAGCAAGAAACTTTGTTACTCTTCCATGAAAAAAAGCATGTCTCTCCACTTTGATATAAAACAAACCACCTTAGCAAATTGCATATCTTTTCAAGACATAAAATGATCAACAATATGAATATATCAATATGATCATAAAAATTACAATTATAGACAGTACAATACTTTATCAAAATAACCAACCACTGCACAATATAACCTATAAAATCCCCACTGATTGGTCCATCTCACAACAAAGTCAATTTCACAATTAACACACTCACTTTTTCCCCTTAGGTAAAAAATACCTGAATTTTTTTCACTTCTCAGGAAAAAACAGAGTTTTCTGTACTTTTTTTTGGTCTTTTTTTTTTTTTCTAACTAAACTACTAAACTTAAAAACTAAAATTTACCCTTGATTTTCCTTACCAAAAGGTTGAATTCCTGTAAAAGAAACCCTACCAAAACCCAAATGACCAACTTGGTACAACTCAAATAATACTTTATCAGCTTCAAATGCAGCACAAAAGCTTCTTCTTTCTTCCAACTCTTGATTATTATTGTTAATATTATCACCTTCTTTTCCAAATTCAAAGATAATATCTGATTTACTCTGACTTAATCTCCCTGAAATCAGACTAATATCCCTGCTGTTGATATCAATACTAGTTCCAGTTTCGCCGATTTTGCAGCATTTTCTCTTCCTGTTCTTCCTTTTCCTCAGACATCTCCTGCCTACTAAATAAGGTACTTTAACAAAGGCAAGAGCTAACAGACTGACGAGAGCGAGAGGGCAGCAACAGACAGCAACACAGTCAGCAACCAAGGCTGCAGCACATGATCTGCACTGCTTCCCTGAACACTCTACTGATGAATCCCCGGCCTCTTCGGATGTGAAACGAGGCCGGGGCCGGGTCTTTCCCTTGTTCTCTTCCATTTAAGGGTGGTTACTGTAATATTGTGGCTATATATAATCCTGCAGGAATCAGGAAAAACTATACTGCTAAGTAAAAAATATGAATAAATGGGTGTTTTTTCTAGGGAGTAGAGAAGTGTTTTTTTTTTTTAAGGATGTTGTAATCAAACATAACATACAATAAGGAATGAAGGAAAGACTCATTCTTTTTTTACTACCCCTCAAAGTAAAAAAAAAAAAAACATATATAAAAAAATTTATAAAAATAAAGAATAAAAATTAACCTTGGTAATTCCAAAAGGGTAGGGCTACAAAATATTTATGATTGAGGATGAGGACATAAGTACGAGTACATGCCCACCTTAGAATGTGGTTAAATGATTTCTTCACAAATAAGGTTAAGAAAGACAATGGCTTAAGTCCCACACCAAATACTTGTAGAAATGGAAAATTAAACTATGAAAGCACATGTATTTTGGTTATAAAAAGGGGTAATGAAATAAAGTGGCAACTAGCTCAATTATTTGAATCCACATTTATTATGTATATGTGTATTTAGTGTATGTTTTCTTCTTGATTATTGAGAAACTTTTGTTAATGATGATAGTGTAGTTACCTTTTCTATAGTAGTATGAAATTAGTGTTATCAAGAGAAACTCAACTTTATTCTATATGTAAGGAGGTCCTCGATCTTAAGGATTATTCAGTCTCATATTTTCGTGGTATATTGGACTTGTGATACACAACTTTTGGTAGTATTTGGCGGTTGTACTTTAATTGACTCGATCATACTTTAGGGAGTATAATTTTGCTGATTTTTAGATCAACTTATCATACCTTATTCTTTATCATTGTTTGCTCAAAGTATTACATTCCAACAAGAAGTTAAACAAAAAGGGCTTATTACTCTCATTTATCACCTACAAGGCTACAAAGTAAAAGTGTCCCAATTCAATCTTATATTCACAAAAGCAAACTCTAATACCTAAAAGAGCTTTATACTCTTACACAAAGTTGAATGTGACTTCGATGTGAAAAAACATGAAAAAAGGTGAAATTATAAAGGCATGAAAAATGGAAATTTCATGGAATACTACGATGTCCAAATTACTGAACGAAGATTTGTTATCATACAACAAGTTACTCTTCTTGTTTCATAGTTTAAGTTATCTGAAAATAGATATTTACACAAGGGTTAAGAGTCCTCAAAAGGGTAAAGAAAAGAAGAACAATATACTCTTAAGTCTTAACAAGAGAGGGTAAAAATGAAGGTTAAAAAGAGAGAACATGAAATATTTTTATTTAATGCAATGTTTCAATATGACTTATGAAAATTATAAATTTTTTTTTTCAAATTCTATGAAAAACCTAATAAGACAACTTCGAAATGAAATCAATCTTCTTTTTTTCTTTCTTTTTTTTTTTTTTTTGAAATTACCTTAATGTAAAATAGAGAGATTATATTTTTTCTCATTGAAATATAATTATACAAGGGCAATGTATATGTATGTATGTTAGTGTGCATCAAATAGTAGATCCACATACAACTTGGAAACTCCCTATTTTATGAAAAACTTCCCAAGGATGGTAATTTCATCCATCTCTTCATGTCCCTTACCCTATTAAGCTTTCCTACAACTTACTTCACTTTCTTCTTTAATTCTATTTAAACCACTATTTAATCCCTTTTTTTTTTGCATCTAATTATTTATGGGACATTTTTTTTTTTTTTACCCAAATCCTTTGTTTTTCTGTTCTTAAATCTTGCCATTTTTTTCCTATTGTGATCATCATTTTTTTTAAAGTTTTACTGTCTGTCTTCTGTAAACAAATTTTTAAAAAGTAATTCTAAAATTTTTTCCTTGCTTAAATGACTTTTTTTTTTTAAATAGACTTAAGTGATGACATTGATGATTTACAACAAATGTGATTACAAAGGTGAAAGGTAGCTAAAATAAGTATGAGGCTATACTAATTTGTCAATTAGTTAGCTTACTTTAAAGGTTCTTGGTGAAATAATAATTAAGCTAATTAACTAAAATTGGGCTACAACAATTCAATAAGTCAACAATTCTTCACTTTATAACAAATCTCAACCAACAAAATTGTCTTTCATTTTAATTTTGCCCTTTTGTCCATATACTTTGATGACAATTCAATAAATAACACAATTATTTGAGCAATTGCTTTATTACCTAACATTTCTAATGCCATTACTTCAATTTTCCTATAATAATCCTTTTTTGATCTATTTTGAGATGTGTTAAAAATATATTGTCTGTTATTATAAATAGAAAAGAAAAAAAGCTACCCTTTACTCGTGCACTTTGGACCCACTTTCTGTATTTGGATCTATATCAGTAATTTTTCTCATAATTACTACAATTTTTTTCTTATTAATTTTATTTCGGTTTTTTCACCATATACCCCTAAATTTTTTTAAATTCATCATATACCCCTGAGTTTTCACAAAAATACACCGTATACCCTTAATGACTAATGATTGTTATTTTCATCGGTCATCAATAAAATAATACTAAAACAGACACCAGGAACGACACGTGTCACTTCCCGATGTAGTTTTTTCCCTCCAAAACTTATTTCCAAAAAAAAAAAAAAAAAAAAAAATTAGTAATGAAAGTCATTCTATATATTTTTTTGTTCACTATGTATTTATGGAAATAACTAAATAAATGATTATAACAGACTTAAATAACTAGACTTTATAGTACTAGATTATAAGACAACATTCCTTTTTCTCCAACCCCCGAAACCACCCACATTCCTTTTTCTCACCCCCAAAATCACTCCTAATTTCCTTTTCTCATCCTCAAAATCAATCATACGGATATGGTTATGGAGATTTGGAGTGGTTTCGGGGGTTGGAGAAAAGAGAGGAGTGATTTCGGGGATGGGGGAGAGAGATCTAAGGTGGTTTTGATGCATAATTAACCAAATTTCACTCATCTTGTTGTCATTAGGGGTATATGGTGAATTTTTGTAACAACTCAAGAGTATATGGTGAATTTGAAAATTTTCAGGGGGATATGGTGAATAAACAAAAAACTCAGGGGTATATGGCGAAAAAACCGATTTTATTTTTGTATTCACTTTTAACTTGTTATCTTATATTTTTGTCACAAAATACTACATTTTTTTCTTATTAATTTTATTTCTCTATTAACTTTTAACTCATTACTCGTATCTTATATTTTTGCGACAAAATCTAATCAACCCATGTTAAATGATTTTTGGGACAGAGAGAACAATCACCTTACTCCATTATTTATTACTCATTGAATTACCAACATGTTAACTTTCAACTAGTTAATGAACATGGATAACTTTGCCCATACTCATTGACATGATCCAAAATAAGACCCAAACTTAGAACGCATGACTTGATTTTGACCGGTGACGGAAATTATTGAAGTGATTATTATTTATTAATTCATCATAATAAATTAATTAATACGGAGTAATAAATATGAATATTTCATACAAGTCACACAACACGATTCAAAACTAAATAAGGATTGAATCAACTTAATATGTCCGAGCTTGATTCAAACAACCCGTTTATCATCTCAAATCATAAACTTCAATTTTTCTAATAAATCCAACAATAAATGGGAGCATTACATAAAATTTCCACATGCATTGATATGAAAATAAACCCAAAGTGGACCCACTTAGTATTTTCCTACCAACATTGTTAAAGTTTACCATAAGTAGAAACTTGAAAATCGACAAATGCAAAAAGAAATCCATCAATCAATAAAATGATAGTCACACTCAAAAAAAAATACGTAGTACAACAATATTACTGTTACTTAAAATAAATTTGATAACATTATTTATTTTCTAGTGTACTTACCTTTCACTCTCAACAAAAATGTTCAACTTCAACTGCATTTAAATCACTGTCACTGTAGCTCCTGTTGCTATCACACTCATCAGGCTTAAATTCATAGAATGTCGTCGTTTCGCAAATCAATCACCAGTTTAACCCACTCATTGTAGAATGGTTGAAACGAAACGACGACGAAGGAGATAGGAGCAAAACACTAAAGTAATTTCAAAGCGAGGTTACTAACTATGATATCACATCGAGCTCAAAATCTGAGAAATCTTAAAGAAGGGTATAGAGAGAAAAGTAAAAATTAGATCTTGTAATAACATAATTTTGTGGGGTTATTTTCTCTCTCTTTGGAATACAATGTGTGAAGATGCGTCAAGTACTGAGAAAGGGGGACATTTTTTAAATGGTTGCATAGTAACTCTAATACTGACTCTTTTTCTAAAATCTGTGATTTATTTTTTTAATTTAATCGTTTTATAAATTCTTCATTAACAACAAAGCATTTTTTGGGAATCTTCCAATTAGTTTAAACAATTGGGTAGAAATTAAAAGAGAGAGAAACAAAAACTGCATGTTTTATGTCTCCCAATGACACCAATATCATTTTTTTTCTCTATTTTTCAACTCACTCACACACCTGTTTTTCTGTTTGTTTATCCTTATTTTTTTTTGTAAATTCTTCTTCTTTTTTTTTTCTAATTTTTTTGGCAACCCTTTTTGGTCAATGATAACTGATGAGGAATCTTGCTAAAATTTCACTAATTTTTTGATGCATGAACCAAGCCCCAGGTATCTTCTAATTGTTTGTCTGCTATTTTTGGTAAGTTTTTTGTTCTGGATTTTTAAAATTTTAATGTGGGTACTAATTCTTTTGGTTATTTGGTGGGAAATTTCCTTGCAATTTAATTGTGTTTGTATATATTTTGTTGATTAGTGTATTATTTAATTTTTACTGTACTGAACTGTGATTAATCTTGTCTTTTACAGTATATATCAGTATTACACATCTCTTCATGTGTGCAATTTTTGATGAAATCTTGATGTGAAATTATTGGTTACTGCTATTATTGGTGTAATAGTTGGAATAATGAGTAAAATCTACCTTTGATCTTAGGCTTACATGGGTTTTAATGGATGAAGTAAAAATCTTCTGAACCTAATGATGGAAACTTATAGTTATAGGAGAGTCTGAAGCAATCATGTATATCTAGTATAGTTCTAAGGCTTGCTGTGTTAAGCAATGATAGGCCGCGAATTTATGTCATGTAATAGAGCAAAGTATGGAATTACATGTGGTGCACTAGTTGACATTTGAGGATGATATTAGATGCCAGGAATTCGTATATATTTATTTGGATTATGAATCTAACTGGTGAGATTCATACTCGAGGGCTAGAAGATTCCATTGACTATGAGGGAGTACAACTGTTGTCAGGTGGACTAGATTTGGGTTTTGCTAAACAAACAAGTACATGTGAGGAAAAGTTAAGGCAGTATTTTTATAATTAGCTAGTGTCAGATGCTGAGTATTTCTTGATTAGTTGGCACTTCTTGTCTATTTGGTCTTTGAGTGTGATTGGTTACAGGAATGGAGTTAAGGGAAGTGATCCGATGGAGTCTAAGAAAGATAGAGCTGGTGTTTGATGTTATAGGTATGGCCTATTTACTTAGATGTCTTTGACGCGATTTAGGTGCAGTTCATTTAGTGGGTGCATTTGCTGAGGTAGCTAGTGTTATTCCAGGGTATTTCTCAAAGTGAATGATCTGCAACAAATGTGATTTTAGGATAAGCAACACTGTAATGTGCATAATCTTAGAACGGACATGACTACATGCTACATATGATAGGATTACTCGAGTTTGATAGTGGTTCCTTTTTTTTCGATTCTAATTGTTGAGAGGTCTCAATTTGAAGACAAATGATTACTAACAAGAGTATAGTTTTGTGTTAGATTGGTTTGAACCTTTTGTGGGTTGTGCTAGTAATAGTGTTTTTATCTAATATTCAGTCACCTGGTTAGCTCATTAAACAGTTTCATCCACATCTGTTGGAATGAAGTTCGAACGAAATTAGAAATTTGACCCTCCCAAACACTCTTCTTTGTGCCGTAGATATGAAGAGCAGGATATCTTATTGTCAAAGTTATGTCCTTTTTGTAATTCAAGGCCTGAAGCGGCTCAATGCAATCTGCAGGTTAGCAGGATATCTTTTTTGTGCACTAGTTGACATTTGAGGCTGATATTAGATGCCAGGAATTCGTCGAGTTTGATGATGCAATGGTGTATATGTTAATTTGGATTATGAATCTAACTGGCGAGATGCATATTCGAGGGCTAGAAGATTCAATTGACTATAAGGGAGTACAACTGTTGTCAGATGGACTAGATTTGGGTTTTGCTAAACAAACAAGTACATGTGAGGAAAAGTATGGCAGTTTTTTTATTATTAGCTAGTGTCAGATGCTGTGTATTTCTTGATTAGTTGGCACTTCTTGTCTATTTGGTCTTTGAGTGTGATTGGTTACAGGAATGGATTTGAGGGAAGTGATCTGATGGAGTCTAAGGAAGTTAGAGCCCGTCTTTGATGGCATAGGTATAGCATATTCACTCGGATGTATTTGAGGATCCAGGTGCAGTTCATTTAGCAGATCCATCTGCTGAGGTAGTGTTATTCCCGAGTGTTTCTTGAAGAAAATGTTCTGCAGCAAATATGATTTTAGGATAAGTCAGACGGTGATGTGCTTAATCTTAGAATGATTGGACGGCCAACTTATATGCTGTATGAGAGGATTAGTTGAGTTTGATGGAGGTTCCTTATTGTATCGACTATCGAGGGCCTAATTGTTAAGAGTGTGAATATGAAGACAAATGATTACCAACAATCAAGGAAAGTTTGGTATTAGATTGGTTTGGTACTTTGGTGGGCTGTACTGGTAATAGTGATTTCATTTAATAATTTTTCACCTGGTTAGCTCATTACAAGGATTCATCAAATTTGTTGGAATGAAGCTCAGATGAAATAGAGATTGGACCCTCTCAAACACTCTTGTTCCCTTTATGTCCTTTGTGTTATTAAATGCCTGAAGTGGCTCAATGCAATCTGCACAAGGTTAGCATATACAGGCTGCTGTGCAGATTAAAGTGGATCTGTATGGTACTGCAGATGCTATCGAAAGAGAGAAGGATTGGCTTGGATGAGGGATCCCGAATAAAAGCTTAAGAGATTTTGAGGAAGAGGGATCCCGTAGTATGAGAGGAGCTAATCCATAGAAATCGATCTTCTTTGCTGTGTATACTCATGGATTCTACTTTTACACCATCTAACAAATAGTAAAAAATTATGTCTTGCATACAATAAAATAATATTAATCCCACTTGTTTAGAGCTGGCAACTCTGTTAAATGGGTTGTGCTGGTGTCAAAGAAGTTCAGCTCGACCCCCTTTATATCGATTGCCCTTAGATCTTCATACCGGGTAGAATTATTAACATAGTAACTGCTGGAGTTCTACTTCAAAACCTACGTGGTACTGACCGTACAGTTCTTGTGGTTCCAAAAGAATCAAGGGCAAAAAGTGATGAAGTAGTTTACACCTGTAGGGCATGTAAAGGTGCTTGTAGGATCATCATAGGCATAACTATAAGCTTGAGGGCACTGATTCTTGAAGTATAGTGACTGATTTGTTGGTGGGCATGTTTGCGGTGTCTTGTATTCCCCAGTACAACAATATTGCGGCTGGTTAAATGCCAAACATGCACTCTTACAACCTATGGTACTCCCTTTAGTATCCTTAAAAGACAATGAATCTGGGCACTGAGTGTTCAAATCGGCTGCACAGCTTGTAGCAGGACACTCATTAGTGACGCCTTGTGGGACCACAGATAACGGTAAGTTGAAGCCATCAACGAGGCTGATATCATAAAAGTCCTTGTTCATGCTTCCTCCTAGAGTGAATTCTGCTAAGGTTGCAGGTGGAGCTCCTCCTTTTCCATTACATGATTTCTCACCAGAGCCACAGTCCCCTGTGCTGCACCTGGAAAACAATAACAGCGTAGATATAGCATGGGTTTGTAAAATTGGTAGTGATTATCATAAAAATGATCTCTTTAAAGGAAAATCAACATTGTAGCGTAGGAAGACTGATAATATAGAATATCTACATAACTGTTGAGACCTCATATTTTGTGTGTTACATGTACACTGTTATGTCAATTGATTGTGAAATACTTGTAGAACCTTTTTCGGGCTAGTAAGGTTGAGACACTATCATCTTTGTGTTTCAGTCTTTGAGATACTCCTTTCAGTGAAGCAGTGATGCTGCAGGACATGCTTTCAGTATAGAGTACATTTAAGTTTCACCCGGATCAAGTTTCAATTGAGTTGATATTTAGTATCTCGTGAGTTGCCTTAACTTATTAATACTCATATTTTCTTGTTGCTAGATACTTGGTTAAGCCTGATGATTTAGTTTTGGAAGTAACAAACATCGAAGGCATTGATTCAAAGAGTTAGAGTACTAACCTAAATTTGCCCGTGGCATCAGAGTGGCAAAGTGAGCGTGCCCAAAACCTGCCAGACCAAGGAGTCGGTGCATCAAGAGTAAATGTGGCACCATTAGGAAGCTCAAATCCTGTCGACGATAATATTGGGCTGCTTGCGCCAGAGAGAGTCCCTGGCCATATGGTATATGGGCAGTTGTTTTTGAATGTAAAGGCAATGGACTCTACCCCTGCATTTTGCATCCCAAAGTGAGAAAAACAGTTGTAAATATAAATATGATTTGTGATCATTAGTGCTTTCCGGCTTACAAAATGACAAATACTGTACACCGGACTTACCATTATAAGAACTGTTGTTATTTCCCCTAAAGATAACGACTAATGGACTATATGCTTTCACTTTCATGTGAAAGCTTCATTTCACAGACCACAACCACTTACAGTGTATGTTAATAGGGGACAAATAATTACTCGTAATAGTAATATCATGTGAACTTATCAAACACCGCCGTTGGTTTAATTGTTCATGCAATTGCATTGAGAAAATGAGTCAATTTAAACAACAATATTCTTATACTGTAATCTTTAACAACAAATTTTAATACATTTGTGATTTAGAATGCATTATTTGATAATAATCTATCACCAAACACCTCTGTAGAATATATATTTTCCTTTAAAACACTATCGTTTCTTGGGGGAAAAAAAGGAGGGATTGAGAGCTAGGACTCGAGTATTTGACAGTCGACATACATGCTGTTTAATCGTGCAAAAGCGAGTAAAAGTGATACATTACAGGAAATAGACATGTCTGGATAGGAAAGAATAACACAAAGGAGCAAAGAAAATGAAGAAGATTGAAGCTAAGCATGCATCAAATGATGAAATACTAGACAAAAAGCGCAAAAAAGTTACAGTTTTTTCAACACCCAAATACAAGATTACCTCTGAGATTGTTGACAGTAATCAGGATTAAGATGATGAATAATACTAGCAATGGTGCTTCCATTAGCATTAATACATGAACCAAATCTTTGGTGGTTGCCTCTTTCTTTCTATCTTACTTAGTAGTTAGATAGAGAGATGGAATAAATTAAGGTTTTGCGAGAAGAAGTGTTGTTTTCTATATATTCGTACTATATATATTTACAGGACGAATGTAGTAAAGCTGGTTTTAAAAGGTTAGTGTAAACACAAAAGTTTTTCTAAATGGGGTACAACTTATAAAAACTACCATTCCATTCTCAACCACTATTGATAACAAATTTCATGTGATGGCAACCTACAAAAGTAAAAAGTTTGTAGATGTATGTTCTATCAATAAGCTCATATGTAAAAAGTTCATCAGGTGAACCCAAGCTCAATATACAGGTTAGATTTGAGCACCGCTGAAATTGTGAAACAGAACTCACTTCGGCCTCCTTAATGTTCAGAAACCAGAGATAACCGAAACTACACAGCAGTAACATATTGCATAATTAAGAAGAATGCATCATGATGATAACAAGAACATCTGAAGAACAATCACTAAGAATTTCGCACCAAGATTCATTACAAGAACACCCTAATCTCCTTTGATTGCAATGTAACATTGAATTTAATGCCACACTAAACTATCAGCCGAACACCAATGGCCAACTGCACGCCTACCTCGTATTTTTCTCCTAAATCTTTCCAAACAAATTTTACAATTCATATAGTTTTTACAAACTCCCTGCAAATCTTCCTGTCTTTGAAATGTTTAGCTAATAAATTTACAACTTCCACTGCTACATACTTCGTATTAAACTAGTCTACTGGGTCACAAAGATCATCATAAGATTCATTAGCTACACAAGTACACATATGTAGACATCGGATATAAAATGCTTCAAACAGGACTTTTTACACGTATCTGAATATGCAAGCGTCATCCATGCAACCCTATAAGATCATTTCTGCGCCGGCCAACATTAAATCACTGGCTGAAAACCTGAAACCAATTTAATTTACCATCATATCACAAAAGCAGAGGGTAAAGGTTTCAAATATAACAAGTATAAAGGTATACCATTGATGGGATTGATAAAAGAATATACAAGACCCATGGGACAGTCATCTTTGCTGCTTAAGTAGACGCTCAAAGTCCTCCAATTGTGTTTTCAGAAAAACGTGTTCATGTCTCATCCTTTCAAGCTGGGCCTCAACCACAAGCATCTCGTCCTTAAGCAAGTTTGCTCGTTTTTCCATCCAAGCCATTGTTTCTGCTGCTCTATGACCAACCCCTAGCCCCACAGAGCTTGTGTGATCTGTTTGAGGAATTACATACACTGGTTGCGGTCTACTTAATAGCACAACAATGCTGAGCTGCAGTGAGGCACAGTAAAATATCAACGAGGGGGAGTTGATGAGTGCTACTCCAATAGAACAGGCAAATATATCTCTCAGTCGTATCAGAATATCTTCTTCAAGTGAGTCTAGCCGTGGCTAGTGCTCAGTGCTTACAGTGAGATTAGAATATAAGGAAAAAAAAATATGAACATTATCATACCTGCATTAAGAGGAGGATAATAGAAAATGCAATCACCAAAATTGGTTGGAGGTTGCCTTTACTTCTCAAAAAAGTGTAGAACTTTACTGCAATCTCTCTTGAAGTAGAAGTTATTGCTGTAGTAGCATGAAGCAGATTTTCACGTAAGCTATTTCTAATATGTTCATGAGTGCTCCAAGAGTTAGCTACATTATCAATTATCCCCTGAGGCTCACTCTTCCCATTAGAAGAAATTTCTGAGTGTTCTGCAGATCCTCCAGTGACTTGTTGATCATCTTGGCCATCCTGAATCGTGTTAGGTAGAGCACATTCTGCACACAAGAAGTCCACAAATGAAAATAAATAAATAAATAAATTGGGTGACTGCAATTGGAACACTTGATGCAGAAAATTAAACTGATTGTTGATCATTAAAATACAAGTATGCATAAAGTCATGCTAAGAACTGCTTGATATCAAAATGTCATTGTACCTTCTGGTTTCTCGATGTTCTTCTTCTTTAATAGTTCATGTGCCTGAAAGAAATTTTAAAAATAGATTCTTCACTGAGAATAAAACTATAAGGAACTCCAATATAAAGGCACAAGGGAAAGAGATAATACAAGTTCAATCCAGGTTGCGAAAACTTCTCGACACTCTTCCACGGTTGATTGCTCAATCTTACCTGTATGATAATAGCAAAGTTAATGCAACTAGCATCAATCAAATACATCCAGAAAAGTCTACAAGGGGGCAGAGATCAAAATCTGCATCCCAATCAAGGAATATAATGCTGGTAATACACAAATCCGGCAGACGATAAGTCAACCAATACAAGGGCTCTGCCGCTCCAGTTCTCACACACACACACACACACACACACACACACACACACAGAGAGAGTCAACAAACCTTTCCACATGGTTTTCTTAGAAAAAGACACACTTATAAACACTTGCAATGTACAACCTTCTGATTCACCACTGTCTTTCTGAACATCCCAGATTCCCTGAAAAGGCATTTGAAAATAAGTTTAATTAACAGAAGATTGCTAATTTGAAAAGAAAAAAAAACGCCAAGATGGATCCCCATAGCAACCCAATGCGATTCATAAAAATGGACAGAAACCAGTAACATCAGAAACCAAAGCCTCATCTCTTTAGACGTTATATTTTCTTTCCAAATTCAACAGCGCACCTCAAAGCTTTAACACAAGCTTGAGAAAATTCTGGTGTAACTCAACACAGGCATATCAAATTTAGAGTGGTACCTAATGTTAATGTGGGTACATCAATGTCACAAACAAAGACTAAAACAGAAACTATACAAGATGCTGGGCCTACTGGCTTCACCATCTCAAAAGACTATAGATACTATGTCATTGGCTAGTTGACTACACCTACCCCAAGGAAGTTCCTAGCAATTGATGACCACGAGTTCACCGTGTAAACCACAAAATATTCAGATCGTTCTGTTTAAGACTATGCATGTTATCCTTCTAGGACTGTTACCTCTAAACCAGCATCATTAAAAATTGAGACAATTATTTTGAAGTATGGGGGAGATTTACAGATAGAAAAAGGCCAACAACATAAACAAAAGACCAAAATCAAAACCTAATGTCTCTACAAAAAATCAGGACGCATATTACCTATATATATATGGAGAAAAATATTTAACTATGAAGACTGATCCGTTAAGTAAAATAAATCAGGAGCAAGGTTTACCTCAACAGTAAAGTAATCTGCATAAGGAACATCACTCACTTCCTGTGAAGTTCTGATAACAAGATGGCTGGCAAGATATTGAGAAAAATTAGTGTCAAAAACGACGGCCTACCGCATTACTTTTAATTGGCAGTCGTTATAAATCACTTATTGCAAAACAAAATTAAGCAGTGAAAGCCCTAAAGTACTTCCAATGAGTATAACATGATTTGATTGGGTAAAAAAAGTGAAATAATAAGCTTTTCTTCTTTTTTCTGTAGACAGTCCCAATGAATTCCCAGTAAATAATGATCTTCAAAAGAAATAATTTGGAATGTAAAGTCAAAAGAAGTTACAGTCTTATAGCCATTTAGTGTTTGTGATGATGACACATAAGCATTCCAAGAAACATGCAGTGCACGGTGTACCTGTCCTTGTACACCTGAAATTTTTGCGTCTCCTTGCAGCCACCACATTTTGCCCCTTAAGAAACAGAAAAAATCAGCATATTAGGCCATACTCATAAAAATCTCTAAATATGATACTGGATCAATAGAGATGTAGCATACCAAAATATATTTTCACCGGATGCTGAAAACTTTTCTCACGAGTATATCCAAACTTATCATGAGGCAACCATGAAGTGCACCTGAAATCTGTATTCATAGAAGCAATAAGTAACATGCTTCAGACAAACTAGGTAAAAGAGTTCTATAAACTAGCTTCCTTTCTTTCACATCTTTTTCTAGGCAGAGAAGCTCTTAAAAATTACTATCTCCCAATTCCCTCCTATATTGAATAATCAGGTTCCCTTCATATAAGGTTCAAATATACTATGTAAATTTCACATACACTGAAAGGAATACCTTTATCTCCGCATTTGTTATGGAAGGATTCAACAAAACCAACAGCTTCGTCAGAAATAAATAGATTGAAGAACTGCTCAACATTTATCTGCATTTCACAGGCATATGTGATGTAATATCAAATTAACGGAAATCAGCAACATATAACTGCTATAGATCACCATAGCACCACACAACAATCATCATAAGGAATGAGAATAAATACTTAGGTTGTACGTAAGAAGAAGAGCATAACATACCGGAAACTTGGACTCTGCAATCTTGGTGTAACTTTTAGGTACTGCACATTGGAGAGGCAACATCAGAAAATGTGAAGGATCATGAAGTGTAAATTTATACAAGGTAATCTATGCCTAAGAGTATAGATATATAGCATAACAATAAAAACTGAAAACAGGTACAATGTGCTCTTATTAGCCTTTCAACTAAAGATTGACAACTATGACAAGAGGCGAACAAAGCCTGCGTCAAACTTTTTGTTTCATTTTGTTGTCCTTTCACTATGAAATCATTTCACTTCTAAGTTCTTACTAATCAAAGTTATATACTTCCACCGTTTTTTTTTTTTTTACTTGCAACAGTTTGACTTTTACACTATTCACATATCTCACTTTGACTAACTTTAGTGATTTATAGGTTAGTAAAAATATAGTCAAGTGGGATCTTGTTATACTCGTCTTGATTTATACTTTCATAATATCAGATTTTTATAATTTTTACAAATTGGTAATTAAAGATATTAACAATTTAAATAGTGCATTGGCAAGCGTGAAAAGAGAAGTGTTGCAAGTATTAAAAAACAGAGGAAGTAGTTCACTAGCATGAAATTCAATTCTAAATGATCGAGTAACCTGAATCAACTCTTAACAAATTGGACAATTGATTATGTGAAATCTGCCACCAAGCTCTCTACTTAGAAGAAAAAGGAAGCATCTCTAGCAAACTAATCAACGTATTTCATAGAAGGAATGTAATATGTTTCCAGGATCTAACAATTTGAAGCATACAGCTGGAATCGACAAAAAAGAAATGCGAGTGATTTACTTTCAGGAGCATCCTGAGTTTCCAGGTTCCAATTGATGGACCGCAAAGAAGTAGAAGGTCCTGTATCATCATGTTTCTCTTCCATCACATGAGGAACTTCTGAGGCAGTTGACTTAGCATTATCAAGCACGTAATCTGGAGAAGGATTGGTATCTTCTGATGTAGACAACTCCAAATTCCTGAGAGGAGTCAAAGTAAGAAGGCCAAATAGCTGCATATCAAACAGAATTTCGAAGAGTTTCTCACAAATTACCTCTCATCTGTATCACAATCACTCGCAGGGGAATCAGAGAGGTTGGAATTTTCAGCCGGACTATCTCCATTTACCTGGGAATTGCTCTCGGATTTTGAATCCTAATAATTGACAGGGGTGCCAAAAGTGTTAATATACAAATTTGTATTGAAAAACCTAAGGTTCACATACAAATCCACAAAATTTTATAGCTGCAATAAAGTTGTATATTATTTCCAGCTAGTCATCGAAATCAAGTTCCTTGCCTAGTAACAGCAGCGTATGACATTGTATTTTAATAATCCTAAAAGATAATCCAACAGTCTTTGAAGGCAAGGTCAAGCAAAAACAGGTATATCATTTCACATAGTTGGAGTAAGATCATCTTTAAAGTTCTAGATCTCTCAAGCATCAAGTTCCAATTGTGTCAAAGAATCACTGTTATTTCTACCATTTCAATTATAACAAGCTAAAATTAAAATAACTTGTTAAGCTATGCATGCATCTTATTTATTGTGATGTATTGTTGTTGTATAAGTCACTTGAAGAACTCTGTGTTATTGTAGGAATCACAAGATCTATAAAATTTGAAAATTAGTAACTAAATAATGAATAAAATCTCGCCTTAAACCCTACCCCCCAAAGGAGGGAGAGAGAGAGAGAGAGGATTTATTTGAAAATATATATCCCATTTGAAGACAAATAAACCAAATATTGTAGAGCATAAAAAAATAATCAAGCTCCAAAAAGAGTCCTCTTTAATTAGACTTTCAATCTCTAATTCTCTACTGACAATTGTTTTTTGTTGGGATAAAATCTGCCATTAACATAATTTAATCACATAAGTGACTCAACCCAACCTAGCTACACTTCAGAGTTTGAATGAGCAAGTACAACTTCTTCCCCTCCTGAGAATTGAAAGATTATTCACTCCCATGATTAACTTTTCTCCACATCAAGCAAAATTTCACACACAAAATCTACCTCCCCCCCCCCCTTCTCTCTCCTTCCCAAAAAATAAATAAATAAAGACCACCAGACTCTCCAGATGGAAATGTGTCGCATGCAAAAAGGCCTGTACATAATGTTCCATAATGGTAAGTTTTAAGATAATAATAAGGGTATATAATTAAGCCCTTTTCCGGAAGACAGCATGCTTAAATTTGCATTTGATGGGAGAGAAACAACAGATCACATTGATGAAACTCATGTAACAGGATATCAACATTAATGAAATTCATGTATAACATGACTATGGAATGTGCTAGAGTTTGAATCAAAATCGTACTTCGTAATTCTCAACGACTAGTCTATAAACAATAGTGAATAAATGAAGTAATACCTGTTGATCTAATATCCTTTTAGAACCATTACTCTGATGTGACCATCCATCATCAATAAGCTTAAAAGCTTCATCACGGGACAAAAAAGAGGCGAAAAAGTGCTGCCAAACCATGAGAAATCATATAGAACAATCAAAACGAGACCTCATCTAAGTATCAATTTTCTAGCATCATAGGTCACACATAATGTTGAAAATTTAGTTACCTTCTTTCCAGCAGCCACAATTTCAATTGCATTAGGAAAGATTCCAGCAGTTTTTGCTCTCCGTACAGATGTGACTTCTTGAAGAGAGATTATTTTCTGGAGCAAAATAAAGCCCAACCACAAAGAAAGCCAAGTTCTAAGTGCAAATGTGAATAGCAAAACAACAGTAGGAAATGTGACAAAAGACTAGCCATCCCCTAATAGCATCAAGTGGTGGTACTAGCTACCCCCAGCTCCCCAAGACATCAGCATGAATACTGGGTAAGAGCATGATTTCAAATGTCAGACATGTCAAGGCTCAAATTTGTATAAATGGTGAAACTGTCCTAGTATTGGACACAGGTTCAGTAAAACATCATTTATAAGACATATTCCAATTTGAACAGACTAATTGCATTTTTCCTGTATTTTAACTTTATTTTTCTATGCAATTTCAGGCTCAAGAAAATGGAAGGGCAAGTTAAGGATTCCATCCACATGTCCCGAGAGTTGACTGTCTGACATGGGTACATAAAATCATAGGTTGCCCATTTGTTGTTTGGAATTTGTGTCTTAAAGAGTATAGGACTATAGGCAAAGTGGTATAACCTGTTAATAAACACCTATTGATACAAATGTGAATTCTCAAGGAGAGAAAGACAACTGTCAATTGCTCGGACTTCTAAGCTGCTCCAATTAGTTCAAATTTGTGATGTTTCAATAAATCATACTTCACGTTATCACTATATCACATATCATAGAGGTAAGAATAGCAAGTTACCTTTGTTTCAAATCCAAAGATGTTGGAGTAAAAGCATATGTAGTTCTCAAACAAGTACATATGCCCCTGCACAAACAATCACGGTGGCAAAATGCAAGGATAAGATTAGACACTGTTTTATCCATTTTGATGCAGAAACCAACTAAAAGCCAATAAATGATCAACAATTGAGATAACAAGACATATATTCACCGCACCCCTGATGGGAATAGCAATGTGTAAAAACTATCAAAAAGTAAATTAAAAAAAGGAAATTTTGATTTTTACCACCTTCAAATAACGACTTTGTCGAATTTACCACCTCCAAAAAAAAAAACATTTACTTTACCACCTCATAAAAAAATTAAACATCAGTTTTACCACCAATCACCTCCAGCTAACGGATTCCGTCCAAAAATCCGTTAGTGGGGCCTACCTTGCACACGTGTCGCCATATTATTGGTTAAGTTTTAAAAAAAATAAATAAAAAAAAACAAAATAAAAAATCCCCATCAAGCAACCGATGGTTGCTGCCACCGTCGGGACCCCCACCGCCGGACCGGCTACGACCAACCCCACCACCTAACCATTACAACCAGCCCCCACCACCTAACCGCTACCAGCCACCATCGGGACCCACAGCCACCGCACCGATTTCGACCTCAAAACCCTAGCCACCACCTAATAGCTACGACCAATCCCACCACCTAACCGCTACCACCGCACCGCACACCACATCCGCGCCGATTTCGACCCCCTTTCCACCAATTTCCGACCTCAAAACCCTAGTCAACACCTAATAGCTACGACCAACCCACCACCTAATCGCTACCACCGCACCGCACACCACAGCCGCACCGATTTCTACCCCTTTTCACCAATTTCCGACCTCAAAACCCTAGCCACCACCTAACAGCTACGACCAACCCCACCACCATCCAAACCCAGACCAGAAACAACCGCCACCCAGACGCGAAACCACCCCGACTCAAAACCACCACCACCCAAACCCAGACCAGAAACAACCGCCACCCAGACGCGAAACCACCCCGACTCAAAACCACCACCACCCACCAGAAACCACGCCAGCCAGACGCGAAACCATCGCGACTCGAAACCACCACCACCCAGACGCGAAACCCACACGAAATTCCGACCAACCGAGGTAGTTGATTTCGTTGCTGGTTGGTTGACATGGAAGATCGGGGAAGATGAAGAAGAAACGTCAAAAATGTGGGCCCTACTAACGGATTCATGGACGGAATCTGGTAGTTGGTGGTAAAATCGATTTTTTGGAAATTTTGGTGGTGGTAAAGTAAATCTTTTTTTTTTTGGAGGTGGTAAATTCAATTAAGTGGTTATTTGAAGGTGGTAAAAATCAAAATTTCCTTAAAAAAATATAATAATAATAAAGAAGGGAATAGAGTCAACCTCACCTGAAGAAGAATGTTTTCTTGTAATGCACAATTAAAATCCTGCAATAGAACCTGAAATAAAGAAAGTATCAAATGAGCTGTAAATCACCTCTGTAAATTGGTGAATAAAACTTATGATTTAAGGATATAATCTGCAATGAAAGTTTATCATGGTTTTAATTACAAACAAAAACTTTTGTAGTTGACTACTAATCTGAAGGATCATCAGAACTTGTACAATATTCATCAATTATCGAGCTAAGTCAGCAAACACTTATCAAACACGTGCAAGACTAATCTGAAAGATCATCACAAGTTGTAACTGCTGGGGAGAATCACAAACAGGAACAAATCCAAGTACACAGCCATAGACCAATATTGTTCCTCCATCTCAATACCTTTATGCTGGGGGTGGGGTGGGGTGGGGTGGGGTGGGGGAATAGCACATTAAAGTTGTATGTTGCAACCTGCCCCCATAGTTTGTCAACGTGATACTTCATGAGTCAAATACACCAACAAATCTCGTTTGTCAAGACCAAATGAATATCAAATAAAGATGGGCAAGGACCTCAAGATTTAAAAGTGCAAACTAAGGGGGATTTGTACTATTCTTCCATAAATGGCACGGGCACAAGTACAAGTGTACAACCTTGTGCTGGTTCAATGCTGAGATTATTTGTTGTGTGATCTTCAGCAAAAGACCATAATCGTTTCTAGAATCTGATTCCGAATACTCATAGGATTTGTTTCCTCTCATGTTCACTTCATAGATATATAAGAAAAATGTTTTAGGTGTAAATTTCTTGACGCATGTGTTTAATTTGTTAGCATATGCCAGGATACTAATTTTAATTTTGGCCAGAAGCCCAATTGGACTGCAGAATAGGCAGGAAGCAGAGTGCACAACTTACATTCCTTTTATGCAAGTACACAACTAAGAATTTTGATTACTTAGTAGTTAACTTAACTCCTCCCTAATCTCCAGCTCTAGTTGAGTCAGAAAAGGATGGTGCATCTTTACATTTAGAAAGTATGCGTCCATTGTATATATGTTCGTTGGAATCCCCAACTATGCAAGGAGCTGTGAGGTTCGGGTACATTCACACTCGAGGTGGCTCAACAATGTGACGCAAATGTGGTCGTACTTTACATTCTCAAGCAGTTATACACAATTCAAAAATTCCGAACTGACATGTTGATGATATTATTAATATGATCAAAATTAGGTTTGATCGCAAGTGATTGAGATTTTCATGTCAATTAATATACAATTTTCTTCCATTTCTACAATTGATATCAAACTTATATAACATTATTCCCTAACAATTGCATGAACATTCAACACCAAATTTCCTACCAGTAAAAAGCGAGTTGACTTACTTCTTCAGAAGGAAGACGAAAAAGCTGGCGATACTCCTCACTTTTAAGCAAATCCAAAGCCTACCAAAATCAATTATTCAATAATTCAACATCAAATTCAAAAAATCATCAAAAATTCAACAATTAGAAAGCGTTGATCAACTTCAAGCAACAGCGAAATCGCAAACAATAAAGGAAAAATCAAGAAAACAAACCTGAGAATCGGCATTTCTGGAGAAACTGGAAGCTCGAGTGATACGATCAGATAGGTCGGAGGAACTTCCGGCGACAGAAGATTCCGATGAGTGGCGCGGAGGAGAGAGAGCAGGAGAAGACACCATAGTTTGAGACGAAGGTGGACTGGCCAAAGCGGCCGCCATTGAAGGAGAGAGGAGAGAGAAAGTGAGGAAGAAGATGAGAGAGAAAGAGAGAGTAGTAGCAGTGAAGGAAGAAGGTTGGTTGGTGATGAGTATGAAGGTTGTAATTAACCGACAAACAGTTGATGAATTTTGGTGATGGTTCAAGAAATTAGGGAAGAAGGAATTTGTTGAAATGTTGATGTTAGACTTTGTTTGTTGTAATGGTGAACTCCCTTTTTTTGTCTTAAAAGTTAGAAAGTGTGTGCAAAGTTTATTTGGAGTAATATTTACACGAAATAGAGTATTCGAGTACAATTTGGGCATTTACGTTGTTAAGATTAGGTGAGTATGTCTTTAAATTTTTAAATTAGATCGTATGTAAATTATTAGATTGAAGGCTACATTTATCATATGTTAGGATATTATTTGAGATTGAGGCAACCCCCATTAATCTTAATGATAGACATTTGTTGTTTATCTAATGGTAATATCATAAATAAAAGGAGCAGTGGCACTAACGCATCAGATTGATGGTGCTCATGTTTGTTGTTTAGTTGTATTATTTTGCTGAAATGGACATTCCACTGGCAGAAGCTTCCTCCACCATTGAAGCCCCCTCCTTTTCTCTTCCCTGATCTCCACCTTCCTTCCACTGACACTTCCATCAACAACCCCATGATCTCTAGAATTAAATGAAAATCCTATGAAATTTTGTGAAATTCAGGGCATGGACAACCCCAAAGGGTAAGGGTGACCATGTCCTCCATGCTGCAAAGTGGCGTTTAAGGATATGCTTCATGGTGGCGGCGACAATGATGGGTTTCGATGAGCAAATGGGAAGATCAGAGGTGGCGGTGATGGGTTTCGGAGAAGAAAAGGGGACATCGGACGAAATGGTGCTTCGTCGACGAAAAAAAAAAAAACAAGGTGGTAGTGGTCGCGGCTGGGTAGGAGATGAGGGGGTGATGTAGCTTGTTTTTATTGGGTAAGATGGAGTAAGGTGGTGGTGACTCATCAAATGAGTGATGAGTCAGCAGTTATGTTGCTTTTATTTATGATTCGACCACTAGATTAACAAACTTTGTTGATCAAAAGATCAACTTGTTGTATTTCCCCTGAGATTATGATCGTAGATTGTAATACCTTATACATATTTTAATTTAAATAAGTATTTCTTAAAGTATTTAAATAAGTTGAAATGAAACATTTATGATGTTTTATTAATTTAAAGAGTTTTGTTTTTAATTAAAGGTCCAATTTATTTATTTAATAATTTTGGGAATACTTTATTTTATAATTTAAAAACTTGGGGGCATATTATTATTTTATAAAAGGAAATTTAAAGTCAGTGGTATTTAAGAAAAGTCAAAATACTAGTTTGAATAGGAAATGAATCATTAAGGATAGAAAGGAAATTTAATCTTAAAAGGGTTTTTAGAGAGAGGGTATAAATACCCATCACATGGGCAAATTGAACCTTGCCCAAAGTGGAAAATACCCAAAGGTAACTCTCTTCTCTCTCTTATTTTCCCCTTCCCCTTTATTTTTATTTTGTTTCATCACCACCCACAAACACACCATCACCAGCCGGCCACCACCACCAGTACTCGCCGGTAGCGGCGGCCACCTGGCGGGTGCGGCAGCAGCCTGGCCTTGGTGGTCGTGCGCCCCTTTCAAAAAAATAAATTCCTTCTTTTGATTTTTTAATTAAATTCACCCCTGATCTAATTATTGTTTTTGGCTTTTGTGATGATTTTTATGATGTTTGATTTTAAATATGATGTATATGAATTTTCAGATTTGGATTTGAATTAAAAAGCCCCAAATTACAAACCCTGGGTTTCTAGGTTTATGTATGTTGATGGAAATTGCTTATGGGTGATTTAAATTATTGAAATAAGTGTTTTAAAACACATTTACAACAATTTTAAATGATTTAATAAAGCTGAAATTTTTATATATAAGCTATAATTATGTTTCTTGAAAGGATTTTTAATTACCCATTAATTGGAAATAAAAGTAAGGGTTTTAAACCAAATTTCAGCTTGTTTTAAAGGATTTATGAGTGATTTAAGGAGTGTATATATTGCTGGAAATTTGTGTGGAATAGGTATTAATGCCTCTTTGTAATTTTGGATTGTAGGAGAATTTCAAGTGAGTGATTTCATTTAGTCGTGGCAATTTTGAGATCACATTCAAGGTACGTTCACGTACTTAGTAATTATTTGAGTATGTAGAAGCATGCTAGGCTTTGATTAATTAATTACAAGGTAGTATCATGATAGGTATTAATTAGAATTGTTGTATGGATTGATGTTGGTGAATGATTTGTGATGTATGAATTATTTATGATGAATTGGTGATTGGAATTAATTATGTTGGCATGTTGGATATGAACCACACTTTTAATATTAGCATGATTAAAGGCATGTTTAATTAAACTAAATGTTTAATTTGGTTTGGAATATTGAAAGGGAATTTTTATTATGGTTCATATTATTTTTATTGATACTTTAATTTAAGCATGGGAATTGAGCTATTAAGTGTCTTAGTACACGGGAATAAATTATAGTGCGGTGCCTATGTGCACTTAAGGTGATTCTAACACCGAGGGATAGGATTTGCGACGCATTATGTGTTTAAGGTGTGTTTGACACTGAGGTAGATTAAAAATGATTCAATATAAAATTTATGTGGTCACTAATTATTTAAGAATTAAATTGGTATGTTTGATTGCTTAAATGATTATAATGATTGATTGTGTTATGGTTTGCGAGTCATCACCAAATCCAATAATATGTAAACAACGTAAATTGAAAGAGAATATGCATTAAAACTCCTGGAACGTATATACCTCGAGTATGAACATATGGGGGGAGTTATGCGACTTTATATTTGTCCATAACTTCTACTGGGAGTACACGACGCTGTATTTTCCATTTTATTATTATTATTATGCGCAGGACATCCGTTACTTCATGTGACATTTGCCTACCCGGTTGGCTCCCGGTGTAGTTTACCTCAATTTATTTGGGGCAGGGATTTGGTTGGAAACCCGTTCGATGCGTAATCAAATTAAATGGACATTGATATTTGTCTAGTTAAATGTTGAATGTCTTGTATGCTTGTTTACAGGTGCAACAAGGTAAGTTGTGTGATGATAGGATGAAAGCATGTTAGTGTGTTTTATTACGCTTAATTATGTACTCAGCATTGCTGATTGTGTGTTTGTATGTTTGTTTGGTATTGTCTTTATCTTGTCCCTACGACAACCCATTTATAATGGCGAGTAGTGGAAACAAGTAAAGAGGAACTTTTCAGGTGATGGAGCATTTTCATGATGGGCATGAGTGAAGAGCGAATCATGCTTAGTTTCCATAGGGATATGATGTGTTTTAATTGCTTTAATTATTATTTATTTTATCATGCTTGTGAAACTTACGCAAAGGGTTTTGAGAGTATTGTTCGGTTTTCATGAGGGCCTACAATGGTTCCAAGTTGTAGGTTGACTTTGTTTGACTTTACTTTCTTTCAGTTTGACTTTTTAAGTTGACTTGTTTGAATGGTTTTAAAGAGAGTATTTCGCTGTGTGTCTTTGATAATTGCCTTAGCCGTTTTCACGGTGGCGGTAATGTCTTAGATTTTTCCTATTTTGTATTCTAAAAAGAGCAAAACAAGTATTTTTAAGGAAGGGAATTTCTAGGGTGTTACACATATATAAATGTTTGTATTATTAAGAGGAGTTTTGACTTTTTTTCGACTTAAGATATATTATGATATATTTTATAAGCTTTCAAACAAGGCCCCTAATATGTTCTATATATAATTTCCTTTTCTTCCATATTATTACATAGAAAAATAAAAATCATTTTGGACTGATCCAAACCTTCCATCCATATTTTGGATTGTTTACCAAACTTGGTCCAACCATCATCGATTCGGTCTCCACGTCTTGAACTGTCAAATTTTGGTCTTTGATTCGAGCTGAAGTTGGACCGATGAACAAATTTAGTCATGCATATCAAGTCGACCCATGAGCCAATTATGGTCGATCATCATAATAGCTCGGCCCAACACACATTACTACATTATCAAGTTGGGCCAACCCAATAATGCAAAGGGCTATGGGTTGGCACTTGGCACAACCCATTTTCATACTTGTAATCAAGTCATCAAGATGATTAAACTAAACAAGCACATAATTAGCATAATAGAGGAGAAAAAGTATGATTAATAAGTTAATTAGCACTACTATCCCTAACAAAGACTTTTGATGCACAAAACCCAAAATCCAAGTTTAAAAAGAATCATGAAAAAACCCACTCCACTCCATCCACCCCACCCACCACTCTTGATTGCTTTTGCTCCTCCTTCAACTTTTGCTAATTCCAACAATTTCTTATATTTTTCCCGGCTACTTTCATTATTCAAACCTTGTCTTTGCCACTTTTCTAAAAGCTAAGGTAGGGAAGAAATTTATGTCCCACCCAAATCAAATTAATTAATTTAAATTAAAATCATAATAATTATAAAATAAAATAACACACTTTTCTTTTTATGGGAATGTGAGTTGATGACCTACGGTTTTTGTAGTAAAATACTTTGAAGCTAATCATTTGAATCACTAACTCTTTTGGTTTTATGGGATTGAAGAATTCTTATGACCCACATTACAAGCTTTATTTTTCTTGATCTTGATCATCATCGTTACCACCAATTGTAGGAAATTTATACTTATATTTTTGGACAATCATATGATACTATATTGTTATTGTTTTTTTTATATCATCCCAATAATATGCCACATAGTAATACTTTAATAATATACTCATTTCATATTACCATTGACTTGACCATTATGGAAACACTCATATTTTCTTTGTTAAATAATAGCAAGAGGTATATGTATATTATATCTAGATTAAAAGGAAAAGGTTTTGAGTTTATAATTAGTAAAAATCCCTTTATATATAAGGTCTAAAATGTGTAGCTAGTTTGTGTGGGTTGGAAGCCACCTTCTACCGATTCCTTCAAACTCAACTTCGATGGGTTTGCTTCTATCATGTTGTTTACGATGCATGACAATAATATTAAAAATGTGTCGATTAGCGGCTATGCCTAAATCTTGTCCTACGTGGTTTTAGAATCATTTGCTTGATAAATTGTGAATGCTTTATAATGGTGGATCTCATATTCATATTAAAGACAATTCAATAATAAGATAATATTTGAGGAACATTTGAAAAACAATACAATTAATGTAGGATATTAAAATTATTCTCCGGTGGTTTGAAAAAAATTGAATTCATCACACAGGCATATGTACAAAGAAGCTCATTATTGAGTGACAAATTCTCTTTATTACATTAATGGTAAACTAATTTTTGTAGTCATTTGTATTATGCAAATCAATCGTTTTCTTGTAATAATTTTTACTCCAAATATAACAAACCTATTTATGAGTTTTTGCATGTTATATATTTTCCAAACATTATACTGCCTTAAATTAACCGTAAATAACAAAAAAATGAGAAATTTGGACATTGACATATCATATGACAATGCCTAACTGCACGCGACCATGTCTCTTTGCTGGTGAATATGACTTAAACAGGATAATTGTACTCTTCTTCCATGCTTCCATACTACAGTTTTTGTAAAATTCTTAAGATTTTTATTTTTTAATTTTTTGGTCATTTACCGAGCATGTTACATAATTAGGAGAATAACATTGATTACCTAAGCGAATCATTCTTTTAGACAACTATAGTGACAAGTACTAGTAATAAAAATACAAAATTAAGAAAGATAATTAATTGAATGAAAATAGGTTAAATTGATAGATTCCCTAAAGAAAAAAAAAAAGTTTAAATTGATAGAATGTTTTTAAAGGATGTACTCTTTAAGCATGTAAGAAAATAGGGTGTATGAAAGAATGTGAGGATAAGGGATTCAAAGTGTGATTGTATGAAGCTTTATATACGTAGTATTTTGTTTTGGGATGCAAAGTTGTAACTTGTAAAAATGAATTGGATTGGTGGATAAGTTTTTGTTTTTCCAAACCAATGGCTTGTTGCCCATACATTTGAGATTTGTTGCGA